CTGTGGCATGGTGGTACTGGTTAAAGCCTGACTGATGTGCAGACCATTATAGCATGGCTCTCACAGAGCTCTTCTAGAGCAGCACTGTGCCAGTGATTTGTCTCGAGATGCCAAGATGCCTCAGGCATTCGGAAGCTGACTTTCTAGCTAGCTTTGACTTTCTAATTCCCCAGATTTATGAAGATAATTCTTGCAGAGAAGGTATCTTCCTAGTTCAAGTACACCACTGGCTACTTCTCTGCAGTGGACTCAATGTTCAAACTGCCAGCACAGCCACTAAAAACTTATATTTGGGACCACATAGAGCTGTTCTTCATGGCCACTGTGATTCTTTAGTTTGAGTACAAATGTAACACTGCCAGCAGAGGCTGTTTGGAAAGGTGAATGTCACCCACAATACCCAAACAACCTTGTTTACATTTCTTTACTCATTAACAGGGGTAAGATCTAATGCACACAACTCCCTTTGTGTTATTTAAAGAGGTACAACTCAAAGAGTTGAGAGGCAGTCATGAGCTCAGCAGTATTTGTAGTACCCCACAAAATGTCTTCAGAGCCCTGTCAGGAATCTGAGCAAAAACACAGATGTATTTAGAAGACTTGGCATTCCATCAAACATCCGTCTGACAGTCACTATAGACAGACTTAAATGAGGGTCATCACATCCCTTACATATGCCCATAGCTGTCCAGAGCAGACAAAACATCTGTTCATTTTTGACTTCAAAAGAGAAGTGAAGATGCTTTGTTCAGAGAAACAAATTTGGCATGTGTATTAGTAGTGCCTTGAAGCATAAACAACAACAACAACAAAAAAAGGTTCACTGCATTAGACCCAGCTGTAGTGGTTTAGATTTGTTAATTTGAGTTTCTTGGCTAAAGTATTGAATAATGTGGTGCCTACTTCCACAATTCCAACTTCTTAAATTCTTCCTTTCAGTAGCTTTGGTGCTCATGGGGACACTTGGAAAAGCCTCTGAGCCAGGTAGGAGCTGGAGCTGGAACTGGCTGCAGACAAGCTAAGCCTCAGCAAACCTTTGCACATTTGCTCTTCCACTGGTCTGTTCTCCAAACTTGCTTCAATTATTACTTTGAAAAACACATCCTTACTAGATGCTGGAAAGCATGTGCTTTACTTGTGTAGCACTACCAGTTGCTACTAGGGCATTGCTGCAGGGCACCAGCTCTCGCTGAGCTCTTCATCCATGGACACCTCCTTGGGTCCCCCAAAGAAGTAGTAGAAGAGGCAATTGTGAGAGAAGAAAATACTGCAAACCCCACTCCTGCCCCCAGTATCCCAGTCCCACTGATTCACTTCTAGCCTGCCTCATGTTCACTCCTCCATGGCTCTTCCTATTTTCTCCACTGACCTCCCCCAGCTTCCCCTCAGTCTTTCAGGCCTCTGAACCCAAACACCTTCCCACTTTTCACCCACTGGAACTTGAACTTTGTATCAAACCAGACATGAACCCTTTCTGTGATGAGTTCAGTCACTACTAAATCCAAACTGGATGGTCACACTGTTCTGACCCAGGTCCCCTCACCCCAGACCCAGCCACCTCCAGGGCCAGCTCAGGCAGACCCAGTTTTGGTACCAAGGCAACCTGTAGCAGCTCAGCCCTGGCCTGGATCTGTCCAAGTCATCACAGCCCTCTGGACTCCACTCAGTGCAGGTTACACACCATAAACAAATAAAGTTGAGAAATCCCTGGCACCCCATGGCTGGGTGGGGTGACACAGCCTGGGTTCCTGGAGAACCTCGAACTTTTTTCTTGTCTCTTTTC